CTTGAGAACTATTTTCAGTGAACTCTAAGAATCAAGGACCATGTCTATAAACTGGTGGGACGATTCTACTAGAAGCCTACATCTTACTTAATAATGGTAGAGGATTCAATGTTCTTTTCTTCAGAATAGGAAATATGAAAAAAAAATGCTTGTTGTTCCTATATTTTTATTTCACAAATGTTACCAAAAGTCTCACTTTATTCAATAATATTTTAAAATATTTATTCGCTTTTATTTTTAAAAATAACTTATGAGTATTTTGCCTTCATGTAAGTGCAATATATGTGTACAATGCCCATAGAAAAGTGAGAAGAGGATGTGGGATCCCCTGGAACTGGAGTTGCTAATAGTTGTTAACCACCAGGTTCTCTGGAAGAGCAGTAAGTGCTCTTAACCACTAAGCCATCTCTCCAGTCTCATAATTTGTTTATTGTTACGTTATGTATATGAGTGTTTTGTCTGCATGTATGTACATGTACCATACTTGTGCCTTTGGAGGTCAGAAGAGGGTTTTGGATCTCCTGGAACTGGAGTTACAGAGGGTTGTGAGTTGCCATGTGGGTGCTGGAAACTAAATCCAGGTCCTCTACAAGAGCAGCCAGTGTTCTTTAAGAACCATCTCTCCAGCCCCTCAGTAATATTTTAAACAAAGAAGGAAAACTCAATACTTGAAAAGAACATTACAGTATATGTAGAAGGCATAAGGAAATTTGCAAAATGCTGCTTGAATTTAAAAGAAACATTTTAGCAAGCTTGTAAAATACACAAGAACAATATAAAATCAATTTAATTATAATGACAACGAAATATTAGAAAGTGAGACTTTAAAACTAAAAAAGTACTGAGTAGGAAACAGTAAATGAATTTTCAAATACTTTAAAGGAATGCAGTTAACAAAAAAAATCTTAGGCACTGAATCTACAACATATTACAAGAGGAAATTAAATAATACTATTAAATACTAATACAAATCGTCTGTGATCTATACCATGCTTGTGGCTTTAAAAATGCAACACTGGTTTTGATAACAATCTTCCCCAATTAATAGAGATATTTTATGTGATTCTGGCCAAAATTCTAACTTGTTTTTAAAGAAATTGGCCATTTGGTAAGGGCTTTTACAGTTTAGTACCAAAGGGAAAATGATGCCAAAATTGATACAAGTGACCACACAAATGCCTTCACTGTACCCACAGAAACCACAAAAAATAGCAAAGCAAGCAAAGCCCCTAAAAATGATTTGCAACTAACAGTTAATGGTATTCCTATTCAAGGGGCCTATCCAATCAATAAGCAAATAATATGTCAATAGTAAAAGAGTGAAAGTAACTAATCGCATATTTTTAAAAATAGAAAAGTAATTTATTAATACACAGTTTTTAAGAATTCAGTGGAAGAACTGGAGAGATGACTCAGCAGTTAAGATCACTTGCTGCTCTTGAAGAGGACCAGGGTTCAGTTCCCAGCACCTATATTATAGCTGACAGTCATCTATAACTGCAGCTCCAGGGGGTCTGATGTCCTCTTCTAGCAGGCATTGTATGCACGTGGTGTATTTACATATATGCAGGGAGAACACTTAAACACATAAAATAAAAATAAATGAATTTTTAAAAAATGAAGTATGGGGCCAGAGAGATAGCTCAGTGGTTAAGAGCGCTAGCTACTCTTGTAGAGGACTAGGTTGAATTCCTAGCACCGACATGGAGGCTAACAACCACTTGCAACTCTAATTCTAGGGGATCTGATGCCCTCTTCTGGCCTCCATAGGCACTGCATGACATGTGCATCAGATAAAACACTCATAAACTTAAATAAAAACAAATAAAATTTGTTTGGGGCTGGAGAGATGGCTCAGTGGTTAAGAGCAATGGCTGCTCCTGCAGAGGACCCAGGTTTGATTCATAGCATTCATATGGTGGCTAACAATCATCTGTAATTCCAATCCAGGGAAATCTGACACCCTCTTCTGACCTCTGCAGGCATTGCATGACATGTGTGCACTTACGTACATTCAAGCAATACACACATACACAAAAAGTAAAAATAGTAATAAAAATATTCTAGAAGAATTTCAGAGGGAAAGTAACACAAAATTAAATAATGGCCTCTTATTTTTACCTATGAAATTTTTGCAGTTTATAAAAATAAGACTCATTCTTGAAGAGGATGGTGGTAAATAAGAATATGCACATGCCCGTGAGGTAAAAATTGGCACGTACTTTAGTCTTTAAAATTGAGTAATGTGTTTGACCTAGAATGTTTAATTCCAAGAATTTATTTTAATCGATATTATTGTTATCATTTGTGTGTGGGTGTACTGTTCAGTATGTGGTGCTTGGCATCAAACCAGGGCAAAAGCTCTACCACTTAGCTGCAATGTCAGTTCTTTAAACTCACAGGTGTGGAAAATGTTATAACTCCAAGCGCTCACAGGTACACTTCTGAGGTCAAATGAACATGTGGCTGAAAGGTGGAAGGCATCAGCCCATTCACATTCTTTCAGTTCCATTAGAGAGCATTTGGAAACAGGTCTTAATGGATAATTTATTAATCTTATGAGTACTGTGAAATGTTGCCATCCCTAGTTACCAAACGTAATACCAAATCCAAAATACCTGGAAGTTTACAAATTTGTACATCACCCATTCTCCATGAGTTCTCAAGTGCCATTGTTTATTGCTTTGCCTTAAAAATATCATTTCAACATCCATGCAGTCCTTCCGGTTGCTGAGTAGTAGTTATAGCATCACATAGTAGTAAGAGTATATAATATAGGGTTGACCTATGTTAAGTATTCATAAGCCTAATTTTCAGTAATGATTTGAGAAGACAAATGTGTCTCCTCTATGACTTTTGACTGTTGCTGGTTTAGATGTGGTTCTTACATGTCTAGCAGCAGCAGCAGCATCCACAGGCCTCCTCTGAGCTCTGCTTGTTTCCACTTGCTCAAACAGAGACCAGTGGAAAACTTCCACTTTTCAGGCATTTCATTGCTCTGAAGTGACTTCTGCCCTTTCATGCTTCCCTACAGCCTGTTTATCACTGCTGACTTCTTGCCAAGACAAAATGTTCTTTACCCTCTCCCTACCACTAACTCCAACTCCTTTGTTTTGATTCTATAAAACCTTTAGTAACATCAAATGTTCTCCCCTAGAAGGTTTTGTACAAGTATAATTATCTTACATTCTTATGCTCTTAAGCATATACACACTTAACTTTATTTTTCTTTTTTTGTCTTTTTGAGACAGGGTTTCCTTGTACCCACAGCTATCCTAAAACTCACTAAGTAGACCAGGCTGGCCTTGAACTCACAAAGATCC